ATTTTGGAGGAAAAGATTTCCCAAGTCACTCAATATTTGTCAGAGGAATGGATTTGTGTGTGTACGTGCTGTATCACTTGCTAACTTGGATGGCCTGGGAATTGGGATGAAATGCTAGCAAAAAGAAAGGCTGACCTGCAGCAAGACGGTGAAAAGTTGCTGGGTATCAGCAGGGCTGCCTCTGTTGCCAGGGTATTCCCAGTCAATGTCCAGCCCGTCAAAGTCGTACTTGCGCAGGAAGGTGATGGCGGATTGGATGAAGATCTGGCGGTTCTCAGCAGAGGAAACCATGTCAGAAAACCTGAAAAGACAAAAAGGCAACAGCTAAATGGTGAATTTCAAACATGTGAAACAGCAAATGACAGTGTAACATGCTTGTAAAGCATGCTAGTGGCTAGTCTACAGAGAGGATAACAGGCTACTACTATCACCAGTTAATAGAGCTACTCATTTAGCTGAAGTGGTAGAGGTCAAAGATTTGGTGCTGAAGGTCCAAGATTCTTACCATGCAGAAAGCCCATAGTGAAAGTTGTTAAAGTAATATAGGGGCTTCACATTGCTTGGCATATTACAGCGTCCAATAAAGAATGGGTGAAGAGCATCATTATTTAATGTTGAGGCTTCTCCGATTGTTTCTGCCTAATCCCTCTCCTTCCCACTACAGGAGAAATGGAAATTTAGCAGAACGTGAATTGGATGCAGAACCACTGTGCAATCTGGTTGCGGATAATTCAGTGAAAGGTCATCTCCTGAATGACCCCATTCCCAACCAATGTTTCTCATGCAGCACTCCACTATGGAGTGGAAGGTAGGAAGGACCTGGTTAGAGGTACGTGCTGTGTAAATATACAGGTCAGGAAGTAGAAATTAGTGGCAAGGAGGAAGGGACTGAGGTGCAAGAGAAAAAGAAAGAAGGGGGAAAACATAAATTCAGGCTGGATACAGGGTCCTTACTTTTGGGTCCCGAAATTCCAGCCTCCGACAGACAGCAGGGTTTTCAGGTCAGGATTGCTGTGAACAAATGATTTTAAAGGACATTCAATAGCAACAGAGATTATGGTAGTTACTCACATTCCTTTGGACATAATGGACCAGATTCTGCTTCAGTTACAGCCATGAAACCCCCCAGAAACCAATGGAATTACACAGGGGAATCTGAGAGCAAATTCGGAATAGTATTTTCTTTCCACTTCCTCTCCTAATCTGTTGTCCAGTGGTGAACAGTTGTTTCATCCCATCCCACCACACCCTTGGCTGCATTTCAGTGGTGGATGCAGCGATCCCTGTGTATCGTTCGACTTAAAAACTGCTATACAATCTGCAGAGCTCTGTGGGATCCTTTGGGAGTGGGGTGTGTGTGTGTAAAAACACTGTGTAATTATTGTCATCACTGAGAACTCACAAACTCATTGAATAAAATAGCGCTTACTAGGTCTTGAGTCCATTGATGCCAGCATAGAGGGCCACATCATTCCATTCGATGGTCTGGATCTGGTTGTTGGCCATGCCAGCAAAGGCATAGATCACATGAGTGCATAGGCATGGATCAAGATTTTCAGGCATGTAACGTGCAATTCCAGGTCTGTACTGGCACCAGTTGGTGAAGTAGCAGACAATGTTGGTAGATGAGCCTGGAATTTAGAAGGAGAAGATTGGGGCATGTGTCTTGGTTATTAGATAACATGTAGGGTGAGCAGGTGGGGCTAAGTTTTTCAGCCCCCTGTGAGTCAGACGTGAAAATTATGAGTAAAAACACACATGTGCACTTACCCAGCTGCACGTGCAGCAGAAGGGCCAGACCTAGTGAAGGAAAGGAGAAGTTCCATCATGAATTGCTCAGACACAAAACCAAGGTAGGTGATTCTCTAGCAGCCTGCTCTTACCCCAGCGAGCAAGCTGGAGCCCTTCAGAGTTAAGCAAGAGGTGGACAAGATAAGAATTCCATCAACTTGCAGCATTTTCAGCTGCCTATGGTCCTTCCCCTGTGTATTGTGCTGCTGAGATGATCGACTGCCTACTAATTTCCAGTTCTTTTCAGCTCTTTGGGATATAAAGAGCCATCCCACTATCAAGCCTCCTGCAATGCTGAGATCTCAGAACACTTGTCTTGCTTGCTACTTACAGGAGGTAGGGAAGGGTGGTACTGTAAGGCAGGATAGGGTCACAGGAGTTAGTGATGGACAAGGCCTACTAGATCATCAGGTTTACTCCCCTAGCTAGAGCTAGATCTAGGGCTAAGATCAGAGATGAGTCGAAGTTTGTCTAACTTATTCTTCCAGCCTCCTAGAGTTCCACCATTTTTGACTCTCTCTAGACTCCTTGGCACTGAGCAGTCTAACTCCATTACTCCTGACTTAAATGTATGCAACTGCGAGAGGAGTCAGGCTGCCCTAGACTTGCACCTAATTACTGAGGTGTAATTTTCACCTCTCCCTAATCGCTCTTCAGTTTGGCCCAGGGAATCAAATGGAGTCTTAATGTAACAAGGCATATCTTTGTCAATAGGAGTTGCATTCATTTAAACAAGGGAAGAATGGGGTCCAGGAAGTCTAAGTTACCTAATATATCACCTCTGAATTTGGCCTGGCAGAAGAAATATCCAATATTAAACTGATGCTAGATCTTATATATGTCTCTCATTTAATCACCTCTCTGTTTCTCATGCCTTTATCCACTGCACTGTGTTACCGATCCATAGTAGTGCAAGACTTTTCTATAATTATCAATAACAATAATTTTATTAAGTGTTATGTCCTCCCCAGGCCTCTCCCAACCAAGAAAGAATTTACTCTGGTCCAACGCATTTTCTCTATTTCATCTGCTTTCTAGAAGAACATATGCTCTTAAATCTACGGCAATGAGGAGTAAGTAACTAAACAGATAGATGATAATACCTAGCTCTTGTACAGCACTTCTTATCAGAAGATCTCAAAGAGCTTTACCAAGAAGGTCAGTATCAATAGCCCCATTTTACAGATGGGGAAATCAAGGCACAGAGAGATGATGTGACTTGCCCAACGTCATCCAGCAGCACAGATGGGAGTAGAACCCAGGTCTCCCGAGTTCCAGAGCAGTGTTCTACTTTATCCACTAGGCAACACTGCCTCGCATAGCTAGCTTTGTGAGACTATCTAGGGAGATAATAGCTGGATAGACAAACAGACATGGATGGGAAAGAAATCTGTTTCATTACCGGAATTATTCTGTTTCTATAAATAACAATGAGAAGTAGAAGTCCTTCTCTAGACTCACTGTGTAACTGAGTCTCTCAGGATACTCACCGATCAGAAGGAATAGCTTGCCCATTTTGTTGCCTGTGTACTAGCTCGGTTGAGCACTTGCCTTCCTTTTATAAGATGGTCTCCGCTCCTCCTCAGCTACACATGTGACACCAGTATGTGTCCCCATCCCATACATTAAACAAAAGGTTAATCTGTAACTCCAGGTGGACTAAACTGAAGTAGTTACCTCACACCACTAGCTGCCTCCCACTGAGAGTAGTCCTTTTATTTCTAATCTCCAGTAATCAAGGTTGATGGATAAGAGGGTCTGGTTTGAAAGTGAAGTGCTGGATGCCCCCGCCCGCCACAAAAGGTTAAATCCCGCCACTGGAAATCTCAACATGCTGGGTATTATGTAAGGAAACCGTAATAACTTCACAAATATATGTTACAGCAGGGAGCTTGCCAATGTAATTATAGGGGTCAGAATATCATGTAACCCAGGAGGAATGACATTGCAAAGGGCTCCGTAAGCCGATTTTCGGAGAGGATCGATAACAGAGCAGCCCAGCAAACATGTTTGCCCTCTGCTGAATTTACTCTGTGTCTATCCCTTTTCCCATTATTTTGTGGCGCTCATTGGCTCGAGGGACCACTAGCTATGAGCCATTAGCAGGTTCTGAAGGGAGACCCAGACAGAAGATGATGGCTGGCTCCTGGTGGTTGGAAGATTCCCAGGGCTCCAACACGGGGGTGGGGGAAGGATGGAAGGCAGGAAATGGGGGAATAACCAACTCTACAATAACACTGGTCAAAAATGTTCAGATGGAACATTTTTCTCTCAGATCATGCCATTTCATCAAACTCAAAGCTTTCTGTGGGAACATATCAATTTTGGTGAAATTCCATCAAGAAAAGTCGTGTTTTGAGCTTATCAGAATGGAATGTTTCAATTTTTCATTTCAAAATGACTGAAAAAAGTCAAAAATAGAATGAAATTTTATTTAAAACGCAATGTTTCGAGTGACCTGAAATGAAATTAAAAAAAAAAATCCTTTCACCGGAAATTTCAATTTCCTTTTTATTTCCCCCCACAATTCAGAATGAAAACAAATATAAAAATGCCAGAATTTCCTGCAAAATGGAAATTCTGAGTTTGACCAGCTCTGTCCTTCAGCCACGGTTATCACTTACTTTCAGTGAGCTTGTGGAAGAGTTTTCATGTGCCTGATTTGTTATGAGTGTTATTTTTGAGCTGAATTTCAACCTGGCTCCCAGCTAAAACAGCAAATGCTAACAGGAGTTATTCCAGAAACATGGTTCCCCGTCTTTTGTCTATTGTATGTATGTGAATCTCTCTTTCACTTTACAAGAAGATAAAACATGTTGTCCATTTACTTCTAAAGAGCCTTTCAGTGCAATATCACGATCCTTGGCAGAATTCGATATTTTTAAAATCATTTTGATATATGTCAACTTTTATTTTTAAGCTTTTTTGCTATTTTTATCTATTTACATTTTCACAGTCGTGCAAAATTATGGGGTTTAAGCATTTTTTATTGTTATTGGTTTAAATTTTCACAGTTGTGGGAAGTCATGGGCAGGTCAGACAATAATTACTGACGCAGAGTACTAGGGTGGTGGCATTTTCCATTTAAATTTCTGTTGCAATACATTGTTTTTCTACAAGCCTGGAGTAGTGAGTATAGTTGGGTAGATGGAGTCTGCCCATTGAAAGTCTAAGGAGCACACATGGCAAACCGCCCACTCAGCAGATCCACTGGCAACCAGAAGAGGTTAATATGACATACGGTTTCCCCCAGGTGAATTATAGTTTGCTAGTGGGTGACTGCTCCATAGATCTTTGATATACTGAACACAGAGAGCCATATCCCTGTTTTACCAGTAGCCTGCTAGCTGCTTACCTCCTGAGCTCTAGAAGGAGACTGATTAGCCACTGCTTTCAATGGAATCGGTACTGGGGAACGGGAACTGCCAACATTCCTTTGCCTTTGGAAATCTCTTCCCAAGCATTCACTGAATCGACCAGGATAAGATTATGCTGAAGACCTTGATAAGATATAGTTATGGGCCAGCTGTGGAGTAACCCCAAATTGCAGAGAGGCAATGAAGCTTATCTGCGGGGGAGGGGGCAAATAATAATGGGGCTTGGGATGTGATAATCAGACTGCTTCAGCCCTTAATGAGCTTGTGTTTACAGAGCTGGAGGTTCCTGCTCCATTTACAATTGATTCTTGTGCGTTTCTGTGTTGGAGGCTTGAGGTGGACATTTTACCCACCATTATTTCTGAGGAAGAAAGAGGGGTAGGCGGGGAGGGGGGCAGTCCATCTCCTTTCCTATTGCTTCATTTAAATAGTTTTCACTCCCATTGTTTTGGTTCACTTGGGTGACACAATTCACAGTGTAAGGTGAAAAAGAGTGAGGAGGGTGTTTGTGGTGCTCTCTGCCTTGGGCAATTCTGAGGTGAAGGGGCCCTGTTGTCCATGGCTTTATTACAAAACGAGAGGAGAGGAAACCACCAGTGGATGTGCTGGTGAAAGAGAGCGGGTATGCCACACACGAGTGTTATTTTTGAGCTGCATGAACGTTCCCCAGCATGTCTTCAAACTCTTTCCCCATCCAAAGAAAGAAAGTGAGACGGTCTTCCTCGTAGTGCATTCATAGCTTCATACTCTGCCGGCTCAATTGCCGGAGCTCAGCTTTGCTTTCACAGTTCCTATTACAGGATATGGTTTCTTCTGGCTGCAGAACAAGCCATCAAAGTCATCCAGGTCCACTGCCCAAATCATGGCACCTCCCAACTTATTCTTCAAATACTGAACCTAACAGAGGGGGCAGGGAGAAAACGCACAAAGAACCTGATTAGGTGCAGGTGAGACACAATATTTGGACCCCTCTGCACTATGGGTGAAATCCACCAGCCTCAGGCCTATGCAACTCTCAAGCAGCAGCATCATTTGCTATGGGTTTGCCCACCTCCCAGACTTTTCATAGGTCCATACTCCATTCCCCCTGCCCTTGCTGGATATAATACAATCACATATAATGCTCTATATGCTGACACAACTCTTCCCATCCCCCAGCCTTACCGCCCCCCCCCCCGCTCCAAATTTTTCTGAAATGACACTGTCATTTCCCTGCTGTCAAGTCCTATTTCAGTCTTATTTTGGGAGCTTCAATGGAGTTAAATGTTAAGCCTCGGGCTCACTCTGTGCACTGGGCGGCATCCCCTCCTCCGTTTTCCTCTCTGAACACTAACCTTTTCTCTTTACCAAGGAAGGAAGCTGCGCCACTGGCGGCACTTCCCGGGCAATGTATATTGTTGCCCAGGCGACAGCGTGTGTCCCTGTCCGGGGGTGGGGAGGTGAAGGAGTGATGGAGTAATCTCCTCCATGAGCACTTTTCTAGTGAATTCCTGTGTCAAAGGGTGTCCTGCCCCTCGAAGAGCTGGAGGCCTGGGGCCAGCCAGCACTGTTCATTAAGCAGGTGCAGGTGCAGAAGGGACAGGTGTTCCCTAGAAAAAGCTGGTATGTCCGTGAGGAAGGAGGATTAGGAGCAGCATGGAGTTCTTTGGGAGGGGAGGCAGTGGGAACCGGCTAGGGGAAAATGGCCTCCGGGGAGAATGCCCAGGGATGGGGAGGTCGGCAGAGAAGAATACTGCAGAAGGCCATGAAGCAGGAAGGACTGAGAGAGGCAACGGGGAAAAGCCCCTGGGTGCTGTGTGGGCTGAGGAATTGTTTTTGTGCTTGTCACCTATGTTTGGTAAAGAAAACTGTGCCTAGAAAGAGACTCTGGGTTTGGCAGTGGGTCCTTGATGGGCTGGGGACGAGCCGGCATTTTGCGTCCCTCAAGCTGATGCATTCCACAACTGTTCTCCCCAACGGAGATGGGGCAGGGAGCGCCTTGGTAGGATCCAGATGTGGATCCAGGTGTGTTGACTCCATCAGCAGCTAGAAAAACCAACCCAACCCTCCCTTCAATTTGGTGATGGGTTTTTAACCAGAGCCTGGAATAGATTATGTAGAGAGGGGAACGGGGGAGGAGGGGTCACAACCGTAAGAAGAGCATACTTTACCCCGCTCCTCCTTAAACACACTTACTTTGGTTGTAATGCTTTGCTTGTCATCATACTCTACCCACTGGTTTCCTTTGTAGGAATATGGGACCTCTTGCTCCACAATCTGCTCGGTGGTGGCACCTGGTGTAAAAGTACAGATCTAAAAAAACAAACAAAACCACACCACCAGTTGGAGAGCGGAGAAGAATGTCAATGCTGGGTTCCTCTCAAGGTGTTGTTGGAAAGCCCGAAGGTCACCCGGAAACGACAGCCATTATGCCATATTCACGGTGCATACGGGTGATTTCCTGGGAGCGAGGGCAAACCCCTGTGAATTAATGCCAATGGTCGGTCCCAATAGAAACAGAGACACTGATTCAGCTGCATCCCCCAAGTCAGGGCAAGATTAAATAGAGCAGCATCCTCCCTACCTCATAATAGGCCAATAATCCTGCCTCTTGAGTGAATGGGCCGGGTGATCCAAGCCCAGAGATGGGCGCACCGATGCCTGTCCTGGAGGAGGAGAGGGTGAACGACCATCCATAGGTGGGGATTCCCATGATGAGCTTCTCAGCTGGGGCACCCTTGCTCCTCCAGTATCTCACAGCATAGTCCTGTAGGAGGGGGTATTACATGTGGTTTATTATAATATATTTTGCACTGTAAGCTGATTTTACAGTATGGTAGCATTGCTGGCATTCGCTTAACGATTGGCTTCTTGTTCCGCTATGAAAAACCTCTCTACAGATCCTAATCAGAGCTCTATGACCGCTTGCATCTTAATATTTCTGGGCACGGATCCTCTTCATGGTGACAAATGGTTCTGTGGTCTGGGAGCACATTCCCTACAGGCTGAAGTGGCAAAGGGTTTCCTGTGCAGAGAGAATCCCACTGTCTCGTGTGCCAGTTTGGTCTTTTTGTGCTGTGTGTTTGCATGGCTAATTATTCATCCAGCATGTGCAAACTCATCAACTTTGCATCGGCAAATTTTGCACGTGCCTTTTTGAAGGGCCACTGATAACTTGCCCCTAGATGTTAATTCCATCCTGTAATGTTAATGGGATTTCTGGTTACTGGAGATAAAGAACTATTCTGCAGATGGGTGTCTGCACCCACGGAGATGGCACAAACAAACGCAGAATTTCCTCATTCATTTCTAATTGCTTGGGGTTGTGACACACAAAGTCCTAAGGATTTTAGAAGGGGATAGTCTCATAAATGTCGATTTATTGTTGGAACACTGATCACTCACGTTCCTGATCCCTCAACCCCCTGATCCATTTGTTATGGTACCAGAAATCTCCCATGAAATTCATAACTTACAACATTATAATAAGAAGAGGATTTGGAGTCTTCTTTACCCTGGAGAAATGGGCTGACATGTCCTGTGACTTTTTGCCAGGAACGATGGAAGTCAAAGGTCAAGAGGTTAAGGAAATCTACAGCCCTGCAGAGGAGAGCACAAAATGAGAAGGTATCCTGGGGAACAGTGCAAATGCAAAGCATCTTGGATAATGACTGAACATGTGGATTAATTACTCTGTGCAGAATCCAAGTGTGGCTGCCTATTATACTCACTCTGAGATTTTGTCGATTTCATAGCTTGCATCGACTAGCTCCCTCACAGCTCCCACTGTTGCACTCAGTATAAGCTTCTGCTTCCCTGTCTTTTGAGCTTTCTCCTGAAATGCTTTTGCCATCTCCTACAAGACATTGACAAATATCTCATTTGAATATCCAAAATGCCTTACAGCTATAGTCCTGCCCTAGACTTTCGGGAATCGCAAACAATGGTGCTTTTGCACCTGCAAACATTGATTTTTTTCTGTGAAATTTCACGATATGGGATTTTTGCATTAAAAATGCTTTCATTGCACATCTATCTTTGCTGAATAATTAGCCTAATTCTGCTTGAAATTATCCATTTTTGAACAAAAAGTATCACAGGGTTTGAATTGGATTTATTTGCCATTTTTTGCAAAATGTTTTGTGATACCGTGTACCAAAGAATGTATTGAAAACATTTTTGAAATCATTTCTGAAAATATGTTTAACAAAAACCTGGTTTTCAATAAGAAAAATTTCAGTAACACTTTTGAAAGCGATTTGATAAAATCTTGGGTAAAATATTATGGAAAAATTTGCCAAAACCAGAAAATGCCAACAACTTTTTCAAAGAGTTTCATTTTTAAAAGGCCACTTTTTAACCAAAAAAAAAGAAAAAAGAAAAAAAACGCAGAAAATTTTGTCTATCTCTAGCGATCATCTATGTCTAAAAAATCAACTAAAAACTCTCTGTGTGTGTGTGTGGTGGGAGGGGGGGGGGTAATGTGAGATAATGTACTTCTGTATTCACACCCTACACACTATTGTAATCATTTTTGTACAAAGTACACCTTGTTAAGGTGTCATCAGGGCCGGCTCCAGGGTTTTGGCCACCCCCAGCAACCACACACACAAAAAAAAAAAAAGCTGTGATCGCAATTGTGATCGCGATCTGCGGCGGCAATTCGGCGGAAGGTCCTTCGCTCCTAGTGTGAGTGAGGGACCGTCTGCCGAATTGCCGCCGAATAGCTGGACCTGCCGCCCCTGTCTGGAGTGGCCGCCCCAAGCACCAGCTTGCCAAGCTGGTGTCTGGAGCCGGCCCTGGGTATCATTTGAAAACTCGTAATTTGCTGATCAGTCTCATCCTGATAACATATGTGTGGCAACACTGTATGTGAAGTTATAAGATTCCACTGTATGATGTTATTACCACATGTTCCAAACTCAGCTTGACAAACAGGTCTGTCTCAAACAAAGGATTGTGTGCTCTGCTTACTTTGCATTTAAGCAGTAAACAGAGTTATCAAGCAGGAAGAGAAACAAAAAAAGCTCAAAAAGGTGAGTAAAAAGCAGCAGGGGGCATCTTTCCACATAGAAGTTTTTCTCCCGGTACCCAGCTGGAAATGTTTTTCAAGGGGGGGACTGAAACTATAAAAAGGAGGAAGAAACACCCTAAGGCCCCCACCCATCTGCCCAGGGATTCACTGCACCTGAAGGGATAAAGGAAACAGCCATTGGACAGGGAGAAGAGTCCTGACCTAAGAAATGTTGTCGGTAAGACTGCTGAAACCATGTGGTGAGAACACTTTGCTTTGAATTTAATATAGTTTGTTAAGTTAGGCACCAGTAGTGTTTTATCTTTATTTTTCTTGTAACCATTTTTTACTTTTATGCCTAATTACTTATACTCACTGAAAATCTGTCTCTTGGTAGCTATCCAATTCAGTGTGTTTAGATTGAAGTGTCTGGGAAACTCCATTTGGTGTGGCAAGTTGTATGCATATTATTTCTATTAAAGAAAGAATGGACTTTATATAACTTGTCCCTATAAAATTGGGACATCTGGTCACCCTACCTGTGATAGTTAAAACAATCCCAGTGTTTGTGGTATTTCCAAGTATAGGAGATTTTGCAAATGCAGCAGTAAAGTCTAATATCTCAGTATAGTGCATTTTAATGAAGTCGATTGCTCCACCTCTTCTGTACCTGTGTCCTTACCCCTACCAAGTAGGAGCACAGTTGGGTAAAGAGGATTTGACCCCTCAATTTTAACAAACCTGGATCAAGCTAGTGAAATATCCTTTATTCTTCCCCTCTGGATAGATCCAATAGAGATTGAAGCCATCAAATTTGTTCATCTTCAGGAATTCTATCACTGAGCGAATAAATGTCCAGTGATTGGCTGGAGAAGACACCATTGTGGAAAAGCTGGTACACATATGAGATATTGTTAGAGTTAAAGGAATGTTTTGACCCTGCCAGATTCCCAAAAAACAGTCCTGTCCCTTTAGCATTCCTCCTCTCCGACAGGAACAGGAGTGGCTCTTACAGGAATCCAGTGCTATTCAATGGAATTCACCATGCATAGACGGCCTTACTTAGGTGAAGTGAAGTTTACAAGACCAGGACCATGTTGCAGTTTATATTTTCTGCAATCAAAATATAAACACACCAGCTCAAGCTATCATAGTACAGCCATGTCAAGGTTGATTCTCCTCTCACTTGCCTTAGTGTCTCCTGACATCAGTGGCATTATACTGCTGCAGAACTGGTTAGAGCGAGAAGAGAATCAGGCCCATTCACTTTTCTACAAGTGCTGATGCATTCAGGAGTGAACCACCCTTAGAATAGCATCTGCTATTGGGAAACCAGGAGCCTGAGAGCTATGAAGTGTGGCTAGAGGGGGAAGTTATGGTGGAGAGTATCTAGAGTGGGTGGAAGTCACCCACAACAGTTCTAGAATAACCTGATAACATTTCCAGGAAGTTTCCAACTTGATCAAACCATCTGTCAGCAAGGCCTTGTTTTGCAAGTACTTTCTATCTGAGCAACAGTGGAAGCTCATAGGATCCTCCCTACAATGATTATTTTTAACCAGATAATCCACATCTGCCCCAGATAATAACAGCATTTGGACAATACAAGGAGCTATCTGTCATGGGAAGATGGCCATCTGGACATGGCAGTTCTAAATACTTGACTCACCAATCTCTCTTAAACATAAGGATCCAAATTTGTCCCTTGGCACATTTTGCCCAGAGATGGCAATAACTCTTTTAAGTGTGGGACATATGCCTCCTGCCAGCTGCAGCAGCATTTGGCCTCTATCTTCCCATGGCCAGGTTTATTTGGAGCATCTCCCCAAGCAGAGACAGATCATTAAAACAGTCATGGGGGATCTATCAACAACACAGTCATCTTCCTTTTCTGCACCTCTTGACTACTCTTGGACTGATTTATCTTTCACTAGCATGGTCTTGAGCCAAACAGGAAGGGCGATCCTAGACTTACCTGTCGGAACCCGTTTTTCCTCCATCAATGGACAGGAGGGTCTTGAGGCTAGGATTCCTGAGGAGAAAAAGTTTCAGAGTAGCAGCCGTGTTAGTCTGTATCCGCAAAAAGAAGAACAGGAGTACTTGTGGCACCTTAGAGACTAACAAATTTATTAGAGCATAAGCTTTCGTGGACTACAGCCCACTTCTTCGGATGCATATAGCTATATATGCTATATGCATCTGAAGAAGTGGGCTGTAAGTCCACGAAAGCTTATGCTCTAATAAATTTGTTAGTCTCTAAGGTGCCACAAGTACTCCTGTTCTTCTTTTTGAGGAGAAAAAGGCATGAAAGGAGCAGAAGTTGGTTACACTGTCTGGTTTCCACTTCCAATAAACAGTGAGTGGATTCTAATGCTGGGCCAAGCCTGCTCAGTTATGGATGGCAAGGCCTACACAGAGAATTCGGCACTCCCACCAGCATGACCGATTATTTTGTGCTGCGCTTTCTATTCAAACAAAAGCAAAAGGAAGAGACCGAAGTCCTAGATTTTATTCTTGTGTTTGCCAAGTTTTCTCTATCACTGACTGTCTCTGATCTAGTATTTCTATGCATATCTGTTTCTCATCCATCTTGGGTAGTTTTGTTTTGCAATAATATAAGAAGAGGTGTTTCTCATCCAGGACTTATTTATTTGATGAACCTCAAAAATGTGAGGCCATTTAGATAAATGATTCCAGTTTTGGCCTGTCTCTAATCACGCTCATCTTCCGGAGTGATGGATTTTTTTCAAAGGATTTTTTTCATTCCCTTCAACAATGCTGCAAACATGACCATCTTGGCTCCTATATCCAATGGACTTAGTCCTGGCTTTTGGATGTATCTGAGTGCTGGATTTGGCTCAATGGAAGTATTCCCACTTCAAAATAAGTCCCTCCATACATTCACAGAAGTTGCCGTGGATAGAAGAACATTGCAGTCAGGAAGAAGGAATCGCCCGTTACCGGCCTCACCTGCTTTTCAGTCCATTGAAAGTTTCATAGTGTATGGCGTCGTTCTATGGAGGTAGTGATCTCATTTTCGCTTATGTTGGCAAAGGCATAAATGAGGTGGGTGCAGAGATGTGGGTCGATGTAATCAGGGACAAAGTGCCCCTCGCCTGTCCTGTCCTGGGCCCAGTTTGTGAAGTAACAAACCAGCTTATAGGCAGAATCTGTGCAGACAGATAGGAAGGAAGTGGAGAAGGAGTCATTCAAAGGGTCTGTCTTCACGGCAGAGTTAGCTCAGACTCTTACCTGGGGGTTGCATGGAACCCTGCTCCCATCCACACACCCACAACCTTCTCATGTGAGCTGGTGGTGCTTTTTACCCAGGCTAACTGGCTTGGCTGGTGGTATACCCTATAGCTTGGGTGCTACTTTCACTCAAGCTGGTAACCCTCCCACTTTGCAGTGAGGATGCCGGCTAAACCACCTGAGTGCTCATAGTCCTCCAATGCCTTCCCACAATTCCCTCCATGTGCTCATAAGGACAGACAGGTTCTCCTACAGTTCACTGGAAAGAATCATAGAGCAGTTCAGCTTAGTGCAGCACAAAGGGCCATATCCAATTGTGGAAGAAAACAAGTCCTCACTCTGCGTTTGTTAGTGATGCGTGTTGAGGGGGCACACAAACTTGGGCAGGGCTTTGCAGTGTGACTGTTCAGACCTGGGCTAGGCTAACCTCTGCGTTCAGACCTGGCTGCCAATCATCTGTGTTAATTCTGCAGGGAGAACAGACTCAGACATTGTTAAGAGGTGGACTGTGGGCCAAATCCGGACCGCCAGATGCTTTTGAGTGGACTGTGACATCTTTTTATTGACGTATTATTATCATTATTGTTGTTTCTGTATTTTCTCTGGAGTCTGGACCTTGACTATACCTTGGTTGAGGAATTTGGACCTTGACAAAAAATAATTGATTATCCCTGGTTTAGGGCCTGAATCAAAGCATTCGGCAACAGGTCTGCCCCCAAACTGGGTAGCAGCAATGCGGGCCACATAGGACTTCAAAGGTCCCAGTGTGTTTCTTCAGAACAAGCATTCTCTCTCAATCCAGCCTGAGCCTTTACCATGCAGCTGAGGACATAGCAACTCACCGCACTGAAGAAAGAGGAAGGCAGCTAAACCTAAAGCAAAACAACAGGAGAGAAGTAAGTGATTCTCTAATCCTCTGAGGTCTCTGAATCTCTAATTTGCTGCTCCAGCAGTTCAGCACCTTGGCGAGATGCTGCCATGCATTAGATCTCAGGTCAGATATGCTCCTAGCAGCTAGCAATGTGTTGTGGCCAACAATTCCATACCCATGAGAATGGAGCTTTCAGAATGGAGCTGGCCAAAAAGGTTCCATCAAAACTTTTTTTTCCAATGGAAAACTGTTTTTTTTTCCACCCAACTGTCTGCTCTCCTTGGATCCTCCCCTCCCTTTTTGAAAGCTTTTCAGTTTTAGATTTTTTAAAATTATTATTTTTTTTTGCTGAAAAGTCAAAAATTTCCATCGAAAAGTCCAACAAAATGATTTTTGGTTGGTTTTGTTGACATATTCTGCAGAAGCAAAACCCATTTTCCCACCAGCTTTACTCAATATTGATCTGACTAGAGATGGAAAAAAAATATAATATTGTGCAGCCCCCAGCTGCTCCTGGACTGGGGAGTTTCATTCTCAGGGACTGATTCTGTTTTCTTTTTTATACCAGTTTTAACCTGGAATAACTCCACTGCAATGAATGGTGCTGTACTGTGTCAAACAGGTGAGAGAGGAGAATGAGATCCAGCCATGTACAAAGGACACCTCTCCTTTCCAAATGTGCCTGACACCTGGGTCATTTGAGAAACAGACATCTTTTTGAACATGCATCCCTTTCCCTTTGAAAAGGGACTGGGACCGATTCTTCACTGCCCTGCATTTGAGTCGTCACTTTCACCTGTACAAGAGGGTGCACTGTTGGTTTCCAAGTTACAATTCATTCCCAGCTCCCATTTCACCCTTAGCAACATCACCAGCATGGAATCCCTCTATAACATCTGACTTATCTAAATATCCTGTATGTCAAGAACTCTCCAGTAAAACCCACAACAGTTCCAAACCCTAGTTCACCCTCACCAGACTTACCAGTCCAAACGAAGGTGTGACCCATGCTGGTTGCAATTGTTCTGCTTGTGGTGGCCCAGAGAATGGATCTGGGTTCTTCGACGTTCCTTTTATGGATCTGGCTGTTACACCCACCCCAATTTACAGGAACTCAGCAGCCATGAAATAAAATAGGAGAGACAAGTTCTTCCTCTTTGCCGTGAAGGGATTTTCCGATCTGGGAATGACAGCGCAATCTCCTTTCAGGATGGGCGGAGGTGTTGCCATCCTGTTTTGTTTCCATTCTCCACGTGCCTTTTGGGAAGTCACTCCCATAGGGAAAACCTGAAACAGAACATTGGTTACCTTGCAGATCAGCACCTTGCCTTGAGGTCACATTGTTAATCAGTAGCAGAGCTACAAACAGAAGCCAGGAGTGCTGATTCCACAGTCCCTTGCTGTAACCACTACACAATATTCCCTGCACAGGATGCATTTGTTCACTGTTATCGTCAACACTTTTCACTGTATATAATATTACACGCAAAAAAATACATCAAAAGAATCCGAAGGTTGCAAAGGCAAGCACTCAAAAGTTAGGAAATGTCAGAATTAAGGTGGACCTGGCAACCTTAACTCTGCCCTCTTGTGTGTATGCATTACATATAGTCCTCAATGACACGCTCACATACTGTTTTTCCCCGTGCCTCATTGACTGCACAGGATGAATGGTGCTCACTGAATGCCCAGCTATTCAATATTTTGTTTTCTCCTCCTTACTCAGCGTGCGGCCTGAAGCCTTATTTACTTACCTTGCTCTGAATAGAGAATTATTAATTTCCTCACGGCCTTTTCTATGGTGTTCATCACGATAATAGCTGAGAATGTCACAAACATTAACTGATTGATTTTCACAATACCCTGTGCAATGAGGTGATACTATTATCCCTGTTTTATAGGTCTGGAAATGAGGCACAGAGAAATTAAGGTCAAAAGTGGCCACTAATTTTGGATGACCTACTTGAGGCATGTCACATCTCATACGTCAGAGTACTTAGCATTAAAAAGCACGGTGCATGCTCAAAGCACAGCTCCCAGTGACTTCAGTGGCAGCTGGGAATGCTCGCTCCCAGGGTCTCGAGTTGGGCATCTAGAACACATCGTTAACGGAGGTGTGAAAAGTTCAGTTTAAGGGAGTTGCCCAGCAACATATGGGAACTCTGTGGCAGAAGCAGGGATAGAGCCCAATTCTGCAGGGCAGCATACAGTTGCCTTCCTCAAGAGACTGTCTTTTTCTCATCCTGCAGTCCCCTGCCTCATTCACACACACCTTCCGACTTCTACAACAAATGAGGCAGGGTTTCTCCAGGCATCAGCCCCCTTCACGACACCCCCCAGAGCAGATCCATCCTGTGCACTGAATGAGGCAGAGGTCCTGTGGAAAATATAGTAGGTGATCATCAGGGCCGGCTCTAGGATTTTTGCCGCCCCAAGCAAAAACAATGTTGGCCGCCCTCCCCCCCTTTTTTTCTTACTCCACCCCCGGCCCCACCTCAACTCCGCCCCTTCCCCAAATTCCCAGCCCTGCCTCCTCCTCCAGGCTCTCAAACCTGGGAGGGAGGGGGAGAAGCGGCGCGTGCGCCGCGGCCACTCAGAGTCTCCCCCTCCCTCCCAGGCTCTCAAACCTGGGAGGGAGGGTGAGCAGCGGTGCGCGAATCAGCTGTTTCACGCGCCGTGGCTGCTCGGGATCTCCCCCTCCCTTCCAGGTTTGAGAACCTGGGAGGGAGGGGGAGCAGCGGCGCGCGAGCAGCAGCAGTAGTGGAGGTGAGCTAGGGCGGCCGGGGCAGCATTCTGGCGCCAGCCATGCCGCCCCTAAAAATGTGCCGCCCCAAGCACCAGCTTGTTTTGCTGGTGCCTAGAGCCGGCCCTGGTGATCATGTCATTAAAGACTTATCATACATACAAGGGGGCCAAATTAAGGTCGCAATGGCTGCCTCTGACCATGAAGAAGTAGAACGGAGCCTTGAAAATCCCAGGGGTCCTCACTGTTAAGTAATTTAGACTGTAACATCTTTGGAGTAGGAACTAGAGCTGAGCAGGAACCAGAATTTCTGTACCATGGACGAATCAAAGAAGGTTTGCCCAGAACTGTAACAAAATATCAGATATGCAAAAATTTTCACTGAAAGGATATTTAAAAAAAAATTCTGTCTGGCCAGCCAGCTTCCGGACTCTCCTTGTGACCAGCTGCTGGGGAGCCAGTGCTCAGTAGACCCCAGATGTCCTACATCCCTGGGCCAGCTGTAGTAGGGACCATGTCTATGTCTCCTGTAGTACAGCTCCTAGCACAATACCATAACATAGATATTTATTAATGTCACCCTAAAAGAGTCCCCTGTTAGGACCTTTGCAAATCCAGACTGCTGTCAGCGAATGCCAAAAGCACTGATGGTCTTCACATGGTATTTCCTTTACCCCAAACCATATGGGGCATATTAGTAAAATCCCTTGGGAAAATGAAGTTAGAGCCTGTTTCCATGTTAAATCTGTTGTGGATTATTTACCAAGGGGAATCTTTACTGCGGAGATCTTAGGGTACGATCCTGAACTCAGGAGCTGCTGCCCTCTCAAGTCACAGTGCCAGCTGGCAGATGTTAAAACACTGCAATCATTCCAGTTCTCCTGGAATAATGAAACAACAAAACTAGATTTTGTTCAGATCATTTCCTCTGCTGGTGTAAATGGACACAGCTACATTGAAGTCAATGGAGCACCGCCGCTGTTTGCCAGCTGAGAATCTGGCCCTTCTCATCTAACTGGCTATTTGTACGCATAAATAACCACGCTGGGAGTGTAGTCATGGCAATGACATATGCAAATTAGGTGTACACACTCACACACACTTCAGCTAGTGCAATTATGCACCAACTTTTCTGGAAATCTGGCCCAGAATTTCATATGTCTATGCAACGTGACTAGACTGCAGAGCACGCAATCTAAAATATCAGACAATAATCATCACTGAGTGGTTTGGTTCATTTGAAGACGCAGCTTGTTTCTTGAGAGAAAGGATTGGAAATTTCTTCTCACCATCCTACACTGCCAACCCGTGGAACCAGGAATTTTGTCTGCAAGTCCTTTAGGGGATCCAATATTAGACAGAAAGTCACAGCTCCAAGGGGTGGGTGCTTAGAAAGAGAAATCTTTTATCTGCAGCTTTTAGGATGAGACTGAGAATGCTGGTTTTGTTACCTTCTCAAAGAACAGCTTCAGCTTGCAGATTTCAACAAGTTACAGTAATTCTAGTTCTCTTGTATTCAGGAGTCCATGGAGACCTTCAGCAGCTAAATCAAATCTATTGTTCTCAGACCTTTAATTACTAACTAAAGAGCTGTGCTTGTTTACTTAGCTTGCAAACTCATCTGGAGAGGAAACTGAACAGAGCACTATACTAGATTTCATACAGGGTCCTGCAAATGACAGGGCAAGACACCCGTAAGAAATTACAGAGGAAAGTAGGCCTGGAATCCCATATCTGTCCACCCCGTCACACCCTACTGATAGCAGTTATAATTTCTCTGCGAGTATCTGCTTGTTGACTGTTGATCCCCTGACCTGATCTTGGAGGATTTATAGTTTTGGGTAACATATAATTTCTTTGCTAAGCTAGGGTTACCATATTCAAACATTTAAAAAAGAGGACACTCCACGGGGTCCCAGTCCTGCCCCAACTCTGCCCCTTCCGCGCCCCTGGCCCTGCCCCCGGCCCCGCCCCAACCCCATCCTTTCCCTGCCCCCCATTCCAACCCCTTCCCCAAAGTCCCTGCCCCAACTCTGACCCCTCCTCTGAGCACCCTGCATTCCCCCTCCTCCCTCCCGCTCTGATCTTGGTTGGGGGTTGCTAAGTGCTTCCCTGCTCCCCACTCGCCTTGCAGCCTCTGTGCCCCCTGCTCCCCACTGGCCCTGCAGCCCCTGCA